GTTTTTTGACAACTTCGAACTAAAATCTAATACTTTTCCCTTTGTATAATACATATATAACTACATATAATTCAACTATTTTTTTAATAAACTTAAAATATCTTAATTGTTTCTATTGGAATTTAGTTTTTTGTTATTATTAGACTACATAAAATTATAAATATAGCCTTTGTAAACATCTGGTAAACTGTACGACATATTACTTAATAGAATATGACATCCTGTTTAGAAGACATTATAATCCGCAGTGATAAAACGGACTTTGCACTCGTAAAGTGTTAGAAAAGGCTGAAAAGCTTTTGAGGTTTCGCTTTGTAGTTATTTATGTCAGATAGAGATAGTGTTGTATGCAAAAAATTAATTTTTAAACGTAACAATTGTATAAATACCTTAGTCACTGTGTCTGTAAGTAAAACATAATAAATACAAAAATTACGTTTTAAAAAAATCTTTACATCTCGATATATTTATATTTGTTTCTTTCTATTGCTTATTTTAGTACCTTTATCCTCAATACCTCTGTTCATATCATTGTTCCCTTTAATATGTTGTAGCTTTTTTCTCATTAATCTGAAATCTTGGTACATGTTTGCTTTATCTTGTATTTCTATACCTAATTGGTTCCCATTCAGTAAAGTTTGGTAGATATTTGACGTCGTTTTATTATATCTTCATTGTTGAATCTATTTCTAATTTAATAAACTTTTGCACGGTTATATGATATAAACTACAACTAATGTTTGAAAAAAATCTGCAATATTTATTTTTTGATGAGATATTTCTCCTCACTGTGGCTTCTTTTAGAATTTTATGAGTGAAAATAGGTCAATAAAGAAAAATTGTTTATATACGGAAAGTGAAGGTCTATGGCAATATCTGTATTACCACGCGAAAGGTTATATCTTGCTGCATGCCAATCATCTTTATATCATTTTTATAATTCTAATTCTAATTCTAAGTTCTTTGTTTCTCGCTTCCCTTAAATCACTGCCAGTCAAAATCTAAACCACATTAATTAAAATTTGATCTCCGCTACTGCTCCGTTTTACATAAATTTAAACCAATAGTCAGTGACTAATATGATCAAGTTATATTAAAAATTAATTTTTTGTTACTTTCGTTTTAACAAACAGAAATATTATCTTCTCGTATTAAAATGTATTCAATTCGGGAGGGCGACATGCCCTAAAAAACTCATAACAGACATGCTCGTAGTATTATTGTGTTGTATAATGAAATTGGTGGAGTTTTCTTCGGGAAAAGCTCCGGTAAATGGAGCTCCCACCGGCAGAAGGCGAAAAAGATTTATGAGAAGAAGAAAAGGTAAGCTATTTATTACGATCTAATCGAGTTTTTCTTCCAAAGAAATATTACATGTACACAGCAGTTTTTCCTTGTAGCTATCAGTTGATTAATTTTAAATTAGCAAATTACATTCCCTTACAGATAGGCAACATACAGTACAGACGATGAATTGGTATGAAGTTAAATGGGAGCATTGGAAGCACGTGTTAGTCACTCCTTCCCCTCAGAAAGATTTTACGGTTGGCTTGCATCTCAACGTTGCCACATCTTCTATTAATTTTTGTTTATTTCTCATAAATTAAACAGAATAATCACAAAGGTATATTTTTACTATATATAAGGTTCTTGGGAATGGCTCCTTATTATTATCAAAATTATTAAGACGATTTTTATTATAATGACGTAAGTTGAAGTTTCAAATAATTATTGACACTTTCGGTTATCGCAGACGAACATCAGGGAAGTAGTGCAGCAGCTGCAAGCTGCAAGGTTTTATGCGGAAAATCTCAATTGGAATACAACAACGAGGCAGATCATTTCTTTATATATCGTCCTTTGCGGACGACATGTCCATTTTGACCTATTATGAGTACACATTACTGGGAATAGTGGTCTTCCAAAGTGGATACAAACGATGAGCAAATTTTAGATGCAAATAAAGAAATCCCAGAAAACATTACCAGGAATACCAGGATGGCAGCTATTCAAATAAATGTTTCTCGCATGATGGTTAGAGAAAGATTCAAGATAAAACAGCTGCATCCCTCCTTCTTGAACAACCGTTTAAGAGTTACTGGGAATGGAAATGGAGCCAGTAATATTATTTATTCCAAAGAATTTAAATAGTGAAAATTATTTCGAGTTTTTACAAAACGAGTTAGTACTTGTAAGGTCGCAATCAATCCAAATATGGGTTCTTAATCTAATGTCAGTAAATTTTCAGCGCATTCCAATAACGAAGTTAGGAAATAGATTTTCGGATATTAAACTTTTAATTACACCCATAGGAGGTGTATTCTGTAAACAAAGTGAACATTTTGAATAAAGTAGCATTGTCATAAGTTTATCAAACCATAAAAAAATACCATGTAAATTACTACTACTAGTCTTCGTCTGAGTTTATTATTATGGGTTCGATATGGTTCTCTATTATATTGTCCAACTTCCACATTTTGGACTCGACTTTTTGTTGAACGTCTTGCACACATTTCTGCCACGTAGTTGGACTAATATTATTTATTACATCATAAAAATAGTGTTTTTGACTACTACATAATTTTTTACTTCTGCCCAGATGAGCTCAATTGGATTGAGCCCACAATGGTATGGGGGCAGCCTTAACACTACTATGTTTTGGCTTTTTGCCATCTTATCAATGATATATTTATTATATTGTCCCTTATGTTCATTAACAATAGCCAACAGTTGCACTTTTAACATCCCAAACCCTATATTTTTTTATTTCAGCAACGCTTAGATGTCAGCTTTTCTAGAAGCAGTAGTTGGATTTTTTTCCAATTTTTTGGAATGATAAGATGCGTTATCTAATACGATGATGGAGTTGTCTTATAATCGGGACAGTATATTTTTGAACCAATTTTTGGAAAGATTTCCTGTTCATCTCTTCATGGTAGTCCCCACTTTTTTTTTATTACACACCCACAACCCTTCTGGAACAAACCCATATTCACTGTTAATGTGAGAGATTATAAGACACTTTCCTTTTCTTGAAAATTTTATTATTTTAAAATTTACTTTAAGTAAAAAAGCATATAAACATCTGCAGGATAATTTAGCTATGTATATATATATGCCAAATTGCATGTCAATCCAAGCCGGTCAATCCAAGCGGTTCTTTAATATTTACAGCAAAAACCCTAAAAAAATTGACTAAAAAGGAAATAAAGCTTTTCGAAACATCAATCAATAAAAATATTTTTTCTCTTACCTTTACTTAAGTGATTACCGCAAGCTATTTTTACTTTTGATTAACAAATACTTTGTTTTTGATACTAAAAGTTTACAACACACTATACAACTTAATACTAAACACTTGAACTAAACTCTAAAAAAATAATATCACCAGTAAATAACTTAACAATAACTATAATATATAGCACACAATATATTAACTTAAAAACCAACATGCTAAAAATACATTTAAATTTATACAGACTGGCAAGTTTGGACCTGTAAAATGAGAATCCGTCTGGCTTAAGGCAATATATTATATTTAATAGCCTCTTGACGAATGAGAGGGCGAATATCAACACGTGCGTTTGTTTACAGTTGGGAATTTGCTGAACGAATGTACCATAACAAAGCATACTTTGTTTGTTTCTGACACACTTGTCAAATTCAGACAAAATATTATATTAATAATAAAATAGAGATAAGTATCATTTAAGAGTCAATTTATTAATTATATAAACTAAATAAGAAGATTAAAAGTAATAATTGTATTTATTGGAAAGTATTATAAACGAGAAGTTTCATAAACATTCAAACAGATGACCCTTTTTATTTTTCATTTGATGATATTTATTACTTTTAAATTTTGACAATCGTTACGAATCGAATCTTTTACTAAGAGATAGATGGATAGATATTTTTTAAATTTTTTACCTTCCATTTAATATCTATATCGTTAGTTATTTGTCGTGTAGTCTTTAATTTAAATCTGGTTAGAATAAATATATGATAACTAGAAACGAATTGATCGAAAGTAGTGAATCGATTTGAAAAATAGCTATTTCGTGACGCTACCCGTGACATCTTCTCGTGGCGCTAGTTCCGTGACGCTCGCCTCAGGATTTTACTATAGAGAGGAAAAGTGTCAAAACGTTTCAGAAACATCATGTTGCAGTAATAAGGCTACAGTAATAATTTGTTTACATAAAAACCGGAGTGGGATTATGCACACTACAAATTTCGTTTTAAAGACTCTCATATCATAAGATAGCTATGAGTTTATTTTCATTTCAGAATCTAAAACAACTTACTAGATATTGGAACAAATATATATTTTTTAAATGGGATAGTTTAATGGCTTAAAATTAGTAGATATAATTTTTTATTATTATTATTGAGTTAATGCCTCGACAACTATGATCATTGGCATGGTACAGTCAGGTACCTAGTTTAGTGTGTGTGTGTGTGTGTGTGTGTGTAGAGTAATTGTCTTGATACTTAGCAAAGTCGACGTCATTGTCTTTGCTAAGAGACGCTAATTGTATCCGAACGTCTGCGGTCCCCCTGGTGAGTACCGATCGCACAAGGATAGAAATTATTTTCATTTATTAATTTTTAATAAACGAAAATTTCCACCCAAGTGGGATTCGAACTCACGACCTTTAGGTTCAAAGGTAGGCACTTTTACCACTGAGCCACAGAGGGGGTTTAGATATAATTTAAAATTTGTAACTTCAAAGGAATCTACATTTTTTTGTGTGATATTATGTTTAAAGCTTATTTTTGACCCTATAAAATATAATTTAATTTGTGGGACTATCTTTTTGTTGCACTTTTTATTTATTTAATTTATCGACTTGCTGTCTGTCTTTATTTTTTACCTATTTTTTATTATAAATAGGCATTTGTCTTGTGCTGATTCAATACAGTTTTGATTCATACACCTTTACGGAAAAAACTCTACACCTGGCAACGCTGTCAGATGCATAGAGAAGCTACAGCACAGACAGAGTAAGATCGTTCGCCCGTATGTACCTCAGTCGTACGTTTTGTCTGCAAAGTGTGAGGGATTATCATCTGTTCGGTTAAATTCGGTTTACTAGTGTATGTGTTATTGTTATTCAAAAATAAAAGAATTTCCTGTATAAAAAATGTGAACGATTTAAATAATGTGTAGTAATTCGACATTACCCACGGCTGGAAGTGCTTATTGGAATTTAATTACGATGGATTACTGGATTAATGTCTAAAACTTATATGGTAAAACTTTTTTTTGATAAACAGAGGGGTCTGCTAACAAATCGGATTAGATTATACTTAATTCTCAGTGGGGTTATAGCATTGCAAAAATATGACAACAGCGGTAATGTGAAATTATGTCCAATTTCATCATAGCTATTATAGAATTAATCTAATTGTAGTTACCACATAGGTACAATACAATGGAATCAATGTACACAAAAATCTATTTGTGTTCCTGTCTTTGCACTCATTTCAGTATTATATTATGTAGAACAAAAAGGGACAAAATGGTTTTTGAATTATTTTTATACGATTTAAGATATAATTTAATTTAAATCAGTAAAAGAACTAGCATAAATTAGAGATTATACAATGGTTTATTATTGACAAATTACGAACAAATTGTCCAAGCAGTCTGAAATATCACTTAGGGTCAAATGTGTAGGTTCAATTCCCACTTAAAAATAGATATATCTCGCCAATTTAAATTGAAAAGACGAAGTTAACTGTTTAAACATTATAGTCAGTAATAATAAAAATCGATATAGCAAAAATGTGTTGGAGACTATCACAACAAGAGGAAGAATTATTTTTGAAACCAAAAAGTTACAGTAGTAGATAACAGATTTATTAGCTTATTCGCACCATCAAATAATTTTGCGTGCTGAGCGTAGCACAATTACTTACGTTTATGTAAAATTAAAAATTAGATAATTATATAAGTATTTATTCGCTCTATCATTTCTACAATTATCAGTTATGACTAAAGTTTCATTTATTTTTATTTAAGCAACATCTGTTATGTAAATTTGTGACTTAGGTGTGGTTTTGGAATTAGCCAATGTTAATTTCATATCATTCATTATCATTTTTAATGGGGCGTTACATTTGGGTTTTTACGCTGTGATCTGGAGTGTTTCGTTTACAACTGCAAATTGCGTTACCATACGCTAATCGCTAATGCACCAGTCTATTGTCATCCCTATCAGTCACTGATCACTTATAATGGCTACTGCAGTTGTCAGACGAAACGTCTAGGAAAAACATTCCAGATCGGGGAACGTATAAACTCAAAATACAATGTGCTATTGTAAAACACCTGCTGAGAAAGCCTACATTTCTTGATGATAGATTTATTCAAATTTCTTTTATAACTTTCAAAATAACATTAAAAGTGTCAAACATTTTCCCCTCTATGTAATAATTACAAGTTCTATTTATTTTAATGACAAGAAAAAATTGTGCTAACTTGATTATATTCATATAATCAAGTTAGAACAGTTTTCTAAAAATATTTGACACTTTTCATGTTACACTAGAATCTTTCAAATCTGGCACTTCAATAAAACATGTTCAATAATCCACAACGTTCCGCCCGTTCCTCCCTTGATACTTACAACACCAGGAAGAAGCTTCAAAAAATGTAATTTGAAGGATATTTTATTCTTTCTCGCTCACGCATGGAGCTCTCCGTTTCACCCGACTTTAAGTCAATCATCATATAAGATAATCTGCCGATTACCGTTTTCTATTGTTTTGAACAGTCCGGTTTCTAATATTTATTGGCTTTTTCAATCTTATGCAGAATCAAGGTATCAAATTTTTCTTCAAATATTCTATTTGCATGCATTTCTCAAGTAGTCATGTTTTAATTGGTCTTCGAATTTTTCCCGGTTTTTGATTTTTTGTTATTCTTAATGTCAATTTTTTAGGATTTCATCAGACAAATATGGTGTTTATGTAGGATGTATTGAAAATCGCTGGTTAAATAGCTAAAATAATAAATAATTGAATAAATAGTACCATTATCAATTCGTGAAAAAATTCACTTATCCTTCGTTGACATGTGTTAATTCGCAGGTAACGACGGCAGCATTTAAGATCGACGAGGACGTCGCGAATGAGAATTACTCGGTGGTACCACCCGACCACCGCGAGAAGTCATTATGAACGCGAATCTGTAGATCTGACCATCTCGAATACTTACGAGCTTCTGGTTGATTCTGTGTGTAGAGACAAAACCAGAGAACTATCGTAGTTCTCTGACAAAACCCTCTTAGGTACCTATGAGAGGGCCACTTTGCCGGTGGTCCTGATAGTTTCAAAGTAGAGTAGAGTATATCGTTACTGTTGCAAAAAGTTACGAAATGCATTCCCATTTCAAGAATTGCAATGATTTAGATAAAACCTGAAAAAATTGGTCTTTTTTGAGAATGTTTTATTTCAAGTGTTCGAGATTAAAATGGATGATTTCCTGACCACGAGTGGTGATGTAGGCACGTGGAGTTGTCACGAAAAACAATATGAGTTAAGTAGCCAGTTTTACCATCGGAATTTGAAGAAGATAATTTAGATATATAATATATTTAGATATATGAAGTAATTAATTAATTAAAAGATATATAATTAAATAAGGTCATATATTAATAGAGTGACAAAAGTATTTACGTTTTCCAAAGCTATCTCTTATCTGGAGTATAAAACTAGATCATTTTTAAAATCGATGGTAAATTGTTGGTCATGAAAATATCTTAAGCAAAACTTGCTTTAAATTATAACAGCTTGTGCATTTAATATTTCATTGTAGTAGTAAACTTGTTTGGAAGGGTATTTTATTTATTTATCTCTATGCTGCGAAATTATATTCATTTGTTACAAAAAACTGCAAATTTATGTTTTGGTTATAAAGGAAAATGCTTTAGTTTAGTTCGATGTGATATCCGTGAAAATATCCGAATACATTTTCATTAAAAACAAATTATTATTACAAATTTATTTATAATTGTTAAAGAACGTTCTGAAAACTAAACTAAATAATAGATGACTGGAATTTCCAGGTATCATTTCATTAGCTATGGAATTAGTGTAAAGGCAAATTATTTGATTCTTTGAATGCTCATACGTGACCTTCTAATTTTTATACAGTTTGTATCTTTGTGTAGTCTTACGGTCATATTTGCATTATTATACATATTCGCGATCAGTTTGGAGTGCCGATAATTTATGCGACTTTCCTCCAACGTTATCATTATTCCGTTAATTTCTAATGCTTTGCGAAAATCTACGAAAGCTAGATCCAATGGTCGGTTGCATTCGATGTATTTTTCTATAATCCCTTTTATGCATTGGATGTGGTTGGAGATACTTGATACAATGGACTGTATTGAATCTAATCAAAATCACTTTATTGAAACTCTTTATTCTAATAATAATCTATTGCCACTTTGTTCAAAGGGAAATAATTATAAAGGATTATACGTAAAATAACTGAAATTCGTAAATAAATGTAAAATTCTCATATTTAAATCACCACATGGGTGGTGTGGTTACCCTCACTAAATCGGCAAATCTTCATAAACTTATATTATCTAAAATAATCCGGGTAGAAGGACCATAATGGAGACACATAATGGACTGTATTGAATCTAATCAAAATCACTTTATTAAAACTAACTTAATTACAATACTGGTAAAAACAAATTTTATTCTTAAATACTGTTGGAGTGTTTACGGTACTCTCTTTCTACCGTGGTCGGTGATTTTCGCTGTCATAGGTCGCTAGTTAAACACACAAGAAATACGGAGTTGCCGTATTGTGTTTGACTTCATAATGATAAATCATAATTTGTCCAGTGGTCGTTGGTGTCAAAGTTTTTCCTAAAACCTGCCTGTTTCTTAATCATCATCATCATCATCAATGGCGCTACAACTCTTCGTGAGTCTTTGCCGCGTTTACTATTGCCTTCCATGTTTTCGGTCCTGTGCCAGTAATTCCCATTGTCGCACTCCCATTTTCTCTAGATCTTCTTTGACTGCATCTTTTCACCTTTTTCTAGGCCGCCCTAAAGACCTTCTTCTATCTGGCCTTTCCCAGAACACATTGTTTATAAGGCGATTGTCGTTACTGCGTTTCACATGTCCTGCCCATCTGAGTCTTTTGGCCTTTATATATCTTTGAAAATAAGGCTATTATCGAGCACAAGTTAATTAAATCCAGGTACGTTGATGATTGTATAGCTCTGATACAAGGATCCCAAGATGATGCTTTACAGATTCTGGAAGATCTTAATAACCTTCATCCTAACATCTCTTTTACTTTGGAACCAGAATCTGACAATAAGTTGAACTTCTTGGATATGACTATATCTCGCAATAAAGATTCTCTTGAGTACAATATTTACAGAAAGCCCACCCCAACAGATCATGTTATACATGAGACATCTAACCATCCAACCCAACATAAAATGGCTGCTTTCAATAGTTATATTCACAGATTACTTAAATTTCCACTTTCAAATGATAACTTTAATGTAGAACTCAACACTCTCAAACAAATTGCTTTAAATAACGGTTATGATCCCAACATTATCCACAAGCTTCTAAATAGAGCTAAACTCAAAATTACAGAAAAGCTTGCATATTCATCACAAAGTCCTCTCCAACAAAATGCTTCTAACAACATCAGATATTTCTCTTTTACTTATATTAGTAACATTTCTAATAAAATAGCTAAACTTTTTACTTCTACAGTTGAAAACATCAAAATTTCCTTTAAGTCACACAACACTGTTGGTTCCTTTTTAATTAACACCAAAGACAGGCTGAACACACTTGACAAAAGTGGTATCTACAAATTAAAGTGTGATGATTGTGATGCCTCTTATGTAGGCAGAACCATTAGAAAGCTATCTACTAGAATATCAGAACATTTAAAAAGACCAAACTCTTCAAGTTTTGGTCAACATTTAGAGTCTAGCAAACACAATTTCAACATCAATACTGGGTCGTCTATTTTGCATGACATCAGTAGAAAGAAAAACTATTTGGAGTTGGATCTATTGGAAGATTTGGAGATCACAAAGGAAACGAATGGAAACTCTCATTGTCTTAATACTCAAATTAATTTAAACTGTACTAAATTTAAACCTATTTTTAAAAACTTTATTACAGCTTCACCTCGTAGTGGACCCAGCTCGGCTGTCTAGACTTCCTGCACTGAGTTTATACATTAAGAATCT